CCCCCACGTCTCCCCCCCCCCCTGCGCAGGCCTCCACCGGCGTGCTGCTGTGCACCGACGTGGCGGCGCGCGGGCTTGACTTCCCCAAGGTGACGGCCATCCTGCAGTACGACCCCGCTGGGGAGCCGGCCGAGTACGTCCACCGCGTCGGCCGCACCGCGCGGCTGGGGCAGGGCGGGGAGGCGCTGATGCTGCTGCTGCCGGGGGAGAGGGGCTACGTGGAGCTCATGGCGGAACGGGGGGTGGCCCTCAAGGTGTGTGTGTGTGTGTGTGTTGGGGGCGGGGGGCGGACAGAGGGGGGTCCGACTGGGGGAGTTGGTTGCGGTGCACTCCTGTGTTTGTTTGGTGTACGAAGGGTGTCGCGGCCTCTTTGTGTTCGTAAAAGGGGATGCGTAGATTCAGTGTGGTGGCCTCCCAAGGGCAAGGGGGGGGGGGTGGCGGCAGGCAGCGGGTGCACGTGAGGTTGCAACAGGGCACGCACTTCGCAGTGGTGGTGTTGGGGCTGCCTGCTGGAGCAGCGCGAGTCTGCCGAGGCCAGCAGCCATCGCGAGGCCGCAGCGACGCGAGCTCGAGACCTGGGGCGAATCGCGCCGGCTGCGAGGGCGTGGCCGCGGCTTTGGGCAGGCAGCTGGTGCGCCAGGGTATCTGGTGCCCCGACCCTCCCTGCAGCCTCATGGCGACCGCGGCGCTGCTTGCGTGCCTCAACACTCAACAGCACAAACGCCGCGCACGTGCCCCTCTGCAACTTGCACACCCCCACAGGAGGAGCCCCTGCCCTCCCTGCTGCGCGCCCTGCCGCCGGCCCCCAGCCCCAAGCACGCCAAGCGCCCCTGGCACGACGCCGGCGGCGGCGGCGTCGGGGAGGGCTCGCCCGAGGTGCTCTCGCTGCAGCGGCGGCTGATGGCGGTCGTCAGCGGCGACCCCAAGCTCCAGGCCCTGGCGGCGGACGCCTTCAGGTGCGCGGCGCCCCACGCACGGCCTCGATTGTACTGTCTATTGCCTGAAAGCTGTACGTTTGTTCACAAAAGCACAGGGTGACGCCCTTCCCAGCCGTCTGGGTCTTAACAGTGGGCAGCTCGCGTGTGGTCTCCGCAGGGTGCTTTGCGCAGAGCTTCAAACACTCCACGCCGTGCGCGACCAAGCGCCGCCCCTCGCCCCCTCGGCCGCCCCTCCCCCCCAAAAAAAGGTCGTTCCTGCGCGCCTACGCTGTGCACCCCTCCCACCTGAAGCCCATCTTCCGGGTCAAGGCGCTCCACCTGGGCCACGTCGCGGCCAGCTTCGCCCTGCAAGAGCAGCCCTCGGCGCTGGGCGGCAGCGGGGCCTCCAAGGAGCGCAAGCGCCGCAAGGCCGAGGCGCGGTTCGAGGAGGCCGCGCGGGGCAAGAAGAAGATGCGCGCCAGCGCCAGGGCCGCCGCCGCGGGCGGGCGGTGACGGGCCGGCTTTTGCTGGTGGTGAGGGTGGGATTATCACGGCCGCCCAATGGGCGCAGAGTTGTTGGGGAACTGCCACCTCGTGCCGCTCGACCTTTTCCACTGCCGTTGACCTTTTCCTTTGCCAGGCCCCCAGCTCTTGGCAGTTGCTAAGTGTCCGCACGTGGCACGCCGAGGTGTTGTAATTGTGACCTGGCTTGCTGCTCGCTGACGCTGAAAAGGGCACATCCTGTGGCCTGGGAGGGTGCAGGTGCATGGGTCCTATCAAAGTGCCAGCCCGCTGCTGTGGATAGTGCTGCTTTGCAAGGTTACACCCCCAACATTTACACATGAACAGAGCTGCCTGCAGCACATTCAAAGCCAAGCAACGCGGGAGCTCGCCGATGAGCACAGGAAAAATGCAGCACCCGCGGCGCGCCCGGGCCAAGCCCCATGCAGAGAGTGGAGCGGCCCCTGAACAGGGCACCCGAGAGGCAGCGTGCTTCAGTGCAAGTGCGAATGCCTGTGAAGGAAACGCTTTCCTTGTACTAAATCGGGTGTTGTGCCAAGGCAATGCCACCATAAAGAGTGTTTGGCTTGAAAATGACTCATGTGCAGGTGTGTTGGGTGCTCAGCACGTGTCAGCAATATTGTGTATGAGCCTGGATTTAAGCACCAGACCCAGCGGGATCGCGAACGAGAGATGTACACCGCTCCACATGACAGTGGACACACCCCTTGAGTTGTTTCTGGCCCTTGGGCGCCATTGCCCCCTGGCCGCTTGCGAGGGCAGACACACTGTGGCATTGACAAGGACACGGGCCCAACAGGGGCCAGAAAGCTTGGCACAACTTCCATAGGCAACTTCATAGGGCGGGTGCATTTGCACACCCAAGGTTGCGCGTGCTGCTCATTAAACAAACAGGGCAGCGCCGTGGCTGCTCACATTCCCGCCAACTAAGGAGAGGACTGATAGGATTGAATGCGGGACCAGCTGTGTGCGCTAAGACAAACGGCGCAGCGCAGCAAAATTGAAACTACGGGGCCAGCACCGCACCACGAACGGCGGGGGCTGACATGCTGCATGACGGCAGGCGGGTGATGTGTGATGTGCACGGCCCAATCAGCCCGCCACCCTGGGCCTGGATAGGTCTGCCAGCAAGTGGGCAGCAGGCGTGCAGTCAGCGTGGGGCGCGCCTGCAGACGCGGCTAGCCGTCGATGCCAGCAGACAGCGACAGCTCGCCATCAGGCATGTTTGGTGCAGCAGAGCCGGGGTCGACGTCGACTCAGAGAAAATGCGAGCCCGCGGCACGCGCGCAGCCCGCGACTCCCGCCGATGATTCGGCGGCACAGTGTGCCAGGCGCGATGACGAGGCCCGAAAAACAGAAGAGCCACGCTTACGCTCTTAGATTCACCAATGCACGTGTAACGATGCGGCCCACCGCCTCTGTACAAACCCGGTCGCATATTCTGCGACCAGTCTTGGAGCATCAAACGCATTTGGGTGGCGTCCAAAGTGAGCGGCTACAACCCACCTTGAGAAAGCGCTGAGGCTATAAACAACTAGTGGGTACGCAAGTCAAGAAACCTGAGCCTTGGTTGTGAGATGCACATCCAAGAGCAGCGCTGCAGCGCGGGTATACATGACCGGAATTGGGCCCAACCGAAAAGACCTGACAGGCAAGCAGATACTGAACGGCCTGGTGATAGAAAGAGATGCATTCTCTTTGTAGGGCAAATAAAGAATTTCGAAGGCTACTGTTATTGACACTTGCACAACTTGTGCAATTAGAAAGACTTGTCTGGAGACCACTACCTCACGTGCTGCAATGCCTGAAACTGCATCTCTAGATTGAGTGATAGTTTCAGCCAATCGCACACTGATTGAAACCCCCAAAGCCACAGAGTGTGCGCGGAGCCGGACAGACAGGTCTCGAGGCCCTCACTTGACCTCGAATCCCTGGCATCTGCCAGCCTGCGCGCGATAGGACTGATGGCGCGGCCACAGCCGCCCCCACCCCGGTGGGCTCCCAGCACGCTCACGCCCTGAGGTACGCGCCGCCGGTGGACTGCTTGCACTGCCTGTCGGCCTCTGACCCCGGCGCGCCGCACAGCCGCGAGGGCATGTCCTTGAACATGTCACACGCGTACTTAGTCGTCACCGTGAGCTTCCCGCTGGCCCTCAGGCTGACTGAGAAGGCGCTGCAGCCGCCCGACTTGGCCCGCCTGTCGCAGCTCCGCCTGCAGAGCTCCAGCGCCTGCGGCCACTTTGTGCCGACGGCGGTGGTGCGCGTGATGCTGCCGGCCCAGTTGCGCTCTTGGCTGGCGAGCGTGAAGGCGGCGGACGCCGAAGACAACCACTTTGGGCCGGAGCAGGCGCCATCAACCTGCGCAGCCGCATCAAGCGATCGAGGGCGCGGCCGCTGAGGATACACAGTTGATTGGAAAGACCAAGGACGGCGGCAGACGGGGCGTGGCCGTGCAAGCATGCCCAGGCGCAGCGGCGCCGCAGCAGCGCCCTGGCTGGGCAAAGGGGGGCCCACCTTGGCCATCTCGGCAAGGATCCAGGGCCTGAGGTTGGGCACGTGCGTGTAAACCCCGGGCGAGTCCTTCTGCCCACAGCCGGCGCCCCTGCGGTGAAGGTGTGACAGGTGTCGCGTATGGGTGTACATGCATGTGTGCGTGTGCGAGCGCGTGTGTGCTCGCGCATGGCTTGTTTGTGTGTGAGGAGGCGAGAACAGGCCCCGAGCAGCTTGCGCGAGAGCGCAGCACTGGACGCAGCACGGCGACAGCCCAGTACAATTGCGTCACACACGTGTGAGGGCCGTGCCGTGCACCTGCGCGCGCGTGCTTGCTGCTGCATCACTCTTGCGTGGCGCTCACCATGAGACGATGCCGACCAGCCTGTCGTTGTCGGGAGCAGCCAGCTCAGGCCCTTCCCTGGCCGCGGTGTTGAACACCATGGGGCCCCCACTGTCGCCCTGGCACGAGTCCACAAACGGGACGCCGCCAGAGGCGGGGGCCAGCACGTTCCCGGCGCTGCAGCGGGCAGCAAGGGAAAGGGGACGGGAAAGGCGAGGCGCCCGCCGCGTCAGGCACATACTCGCTGCTCGTCGCACTGTGCGCCGCGGCGCCGGCGGCGCCGCCGTCAGCACGCTTTCGCCGCTCTCTACCGCGTGGCCCCAACGGCGAGCGCGCCCGCCCCACGACCCCGAGCTTGCTCACCAGATCATGGTGGCGTTGTCGAGCGCGTAGTCTGCAAGCCCCGCGCAGGACTGCGTGTCCAGGTACCTGACGCGCCCCATCTGCAGCACCGGGGGCAGCTGGCCGCCCATGCCGTCCTGCTTGGCGCCAGCGCCAGAGGTGCCCCAGCCGGAGATCAGCCAGTCTGAGCCCTGGGCTGCGAGAAACTCTGGTGGGGCGTGGCGGCGAGGGGAGGGCAGGGTAAGCTTCCGCATCACATGGGCTCGACTCAACTTCAAGCAGGGGGAGACTGGTCGGATCTGTAGCTGCAGCTGCCTGCTTTGGGTGCTGTCGCCGCTGCCGCGAGGTCGCGCCACCTGCTCTCCCGCCTCGGCATAAGCGGCGACTACGCAGCCGCCGCGCGCCCAGCCCTGGGCCAACGGCCCTATCCCCTGGGTCGCCTCTCACCTTCTTGGCTGGCGAGCTGGATGACCTGCACGTTGGGTCCCAGCGCCGCGCACTGCGACAGGAACACCAAAGCCACGTCATAGGCCTGGGTCACGTCGGAGTACTGCGGGTGCACCACCACGCTGGACGCGCGGTACCGCATGCCGTCAAAGCCGTTGCGGTTGAAGTTCTTGTAGTTGCCTACGGCGCGCGTGTGAGTATATGTGTGTGTACGTGTGTGTGTGTGTGTGCGTACGTGTGTGTGTGTGTGTGCACATGTGCGTGTGTGTATGTGTAAGTGTAGGCTGCTGACGGAGGCTCTCAACATTCGCCCCTGTGTGTCAGCATCACGTGTCAGCAGCAAGCGGTGCAGGGTCGAACCAAACCCGTCCCGCCATGCCGCCCACCAACAAACACGGACAGCTCCTTGGCCCATGCCTGTGGGTTTCCCGGGGCCACACAGTCTGCGGAAGCATGGGGTAAGCGCAGGAGACGGGGCTGAGAGACCAAGGGCGGGTCCGCGATGCACGGACGCGCACCAGGGTGGGGAGAGTGCTGCGTGATCCATTAGTGCGTCGAGCGCAACAAGACCGCGGCGCACCGCCCGCCGGCCGCCATGCGCCCGTTGCCCCCAGGTTGCTTGGCCGCTGCCTGGGACGCAGAGCCCGCCGCATGCGAGCAGGTGAGCGTGCCCCCGGCTGCGTGCTGCAGCCGGCGCTCACGTGCGGCGGTGACGACCACGTCCTGCCTAATCAGCGCGCCGCCGCAGCCGCCGAGGCTCGACAGCAGCCCCATGTCGTAGGCAAACCTGCCTTTTGGCGCGTCCGTGCCGCCCACAATGCTAGGCATCACTACGCCCGGCACGCGGGCCGCCGCGGGCTGCGCCAGCAGCAGCAGCCGCAGCAGCAGCAGCAGGGAGCTCAGCGGCAGCAGCTGCAGCACCGCTATCGGACCGCAGTGCGCCATGCGCTCTGTGTCTTCCGAGCGTTGCCTGCAATCTGCAGCATCGCAGGGGGGTATTGACGGAATCGGAGGTCGGCTGGGCCGGGCGTTCCGAGACGGCGTATTACACGGCTGTGCCCCTTGGCACCACGAGGGAGGGGGCGGCGCAGCCCCATTTGGTCCTGGCTGCCAGCAAGGCGACCGCCGGCAGCCGCTGCACGCTCGCAGCATGGAGTGTGCATAGAGTGGCTGAAGCATAAACTTGTGATGGCACTACGTTCGGCAGCCCGGCCAGGAGCTGGTTCGCCACCTGCCCCGCAGCAGCAGCACACCGATTTCGCCTGGCCCCGCCCCCCTTGCACGCGTGGCACACGCGACGTGAGGCCGTAAGCATCCCCCCGCGCAGAATGCATCACTACCGTGTGTAGATCCATGAAACCAACCTTCCGAAACTTGGTGGGTCTCTGGGGTGCGGTTGCGTTCACACTTGGGCCCACTTCGGAGTTCGCGCGAAAAGATCACTAGGTAGCTGGATCATGATTTTTGCGTGGCGTTGATAGGTTTGAACTTACGCTTTGAGCTTACGCTGTGTTCGACTTGGTGCTGACGCTGCGGTGCCACTACGTTGCGTGCTGGTGGGTAGCCAGGCGAGTGTGGCTCACGGGTTATAGCGTGTGTTGCAGGCCGTATTTGAGGTGTAAAAACCAAAAAACTGCGTCGCCGGTTGCACGCAGGGATCGGCTACGTTATCGCTTGGCCGTTCTGCGCGATGTTCCGCAGATGAACGACGGCCAGGTGCGCAGTTGGCGTGGTGGCGCTCCTTCAAATCAATCCAAACCTTTCGCAAAAATCCATCGACGCAGCAAGGCCATGCTGCCAACCAACCGCCGCTGGTGAGCAACGCGTCGCTTCGCTGTCCCTGACTTGCGTCGACCACCCAGCGGCTTTGTTCCTTCCATGCAGCCATCCAGCTGTGGAAGCTCGGGTACTTGCACGCTTCTGCTAATCATCATGACGCCGCACTCTGCCGCACGCAACATTTCAGTGCAAAGATGTGCATGTTGTCGACGTGTGAGTATGGCGGGGTAAAGTAGACGGTGCGCTGGGCACTCAGTAAGGTTTAAGGATGGGCGCAACAGTCAGGGCAGCTGCCCGTTCCTCTGCTGCCCCACTGGTTTGAGGGACCCGCCGACCAATGACAATGCACAAGTGCCGCCTCACGACAAAGCCCTTCCTTGGGGGCCTGGAGCAGTTGAGGCCCATGCTTAGAGTTGGTGAAGCCAATCCTCTGAGCGGGTGTCATGGTTAAAACAGGTTTCTCGGCATTGGCGTCCTGCAAACAGTGAGCAGCATGAGGAGTCATGGCCTTCACCTCCACCCGGCCGTCTGGTCATTGAACGAATGTTATTATTCACATAATTGTACGCCAAGGTGCATCGCCAGCAACAGCACTGAGCATCCCAGCGCACCCACACTCCACTTGGCAAAAGCGGTGAGATTGCTGCTTGAATGATGACCTGACAGCTGTGGCTTGGGTCCATCCATGCTGAGCAGAGGGCGTCCATGTCACCAGGACCAGCGCACCACTGGTACCGGCACCTCGAACCCCGCGTGCTCACAGACCTTCAAAGTCTTGGAGCTTGCCATTGCTAATGAGCCTTGTACAAATCTCTATGATATGTGTAGTGCCGCGTTTGAACTTGAGGGAGCAGGAATGGTGAAGCTGCACATAATCGTGGCCCATCAACATGATAGTGAACGCTGATTTCATTGCACTTCCCGCTGAAAAAACAGCGACAGACGGATGATCTGGGGCGACAGTCGCCCGCAGCCTCAGCCCGTGGCCTTCAAGGTGCGACGAGACACCCAATTGTCACATCTATGACGATGTGTAATAATACCTTCTGGCTTCAGCCTGTTGGTTTTTTCGTTGACATGCACTGCTGATGCACCACGCCGCTCCTGGCAGGAGGAGCAATGATGGACATGGCGCATCGGCCCCTGCAATTGACAATTTCCAACAGCAGCAGCACAGATCCTTCATGGCCATGTTGTTTCCTGTGACGTCGCCTGCTGTCCAGCATCCTGACTGGGCCTGTGCAAGCTCCAGCGATGAGTCCGGCCCGCGTGCGGACCAGCGCTGCCGCTCAGCAACATCTTGCCGTGTCAGCCTGGCGAAGGCAACGGTCTGGCACCCCTGGGATGAAGGTGACAGTGGCGCGCCCGTCACGAGCGACTGCAGTTCTGGCGGCCCGCTCCTGATGTCACATGAGGTGCTGGCTGGCGCCCCACGGGCTGGGCGCCGCCAAAGGATGGCGAAGTGGCGCTCACATGGTGCAGGACAAAAAAGCGACACTCACAGGGCTCGCGTCAGCACCAGCGGCTCGCACAGCGAGCACCCTGATGTGTCGCCGCCGCAGCAGCTGCAGCAGCAGCAGCAGTCGCAATTGCAGCAGCAGCAGCAGCTGCAGCTACAGCAGCAGCAGCTGCAGCAGCAGCAGCAGCAGCAGCCACAGCAGCAGGTGTACACCTGGCGCCCGGGTGACCCTGTTCTGGACGCGTGGGACCAGTATGAGCAGCTGAAGGCCCACGCACGCGGGAGCAAGTGGCTGCTAGTGGCCCCGCCACGCTGGTGGGAGGGGTTTGATCGCTGCTGGAGCAGCGGCAGCAGCGAGAGCGGCAGCACGGCCGAGGACGCGGGCAGCGATGACGCGGAGTCGGACCGCTGCTGGAGCAGCGGCAGCAGCGAGAGCGGCAGCACGGCCGAGGACGCGGGCAGCGATGACGCGGAGTCGGACCGGAGTGTATGCAGGCTGCACGGGCAGGCGGCGGTCGCGCTGCCGCTGCGTGCAGCGCTCCCTGAGGCGGGCGTGCTTCCATGTGAGGGTGACGACCGCCTGAAGTGCCGCGGAGGGGGTGGCCGTGAGGGCGGCAGCAGCCAAAGGAGCGCTCGGGCAGTTGTTGCATCCTCGCCCGCAAGCAGCTTGGATGACCCGGTGCGGCAGCACAGCGAGCGTGGCGCCGAGGGTGCGAGCAGCGGCGACGCCAGCAGCGCCGCCAGCAGCGATGGAGATCGGGGCAGGCATGGGGGCTGCAGGCTTGGCAGGGAGCTGCGCAGCATGCGCTTGGGGTTTCCCGCCGCACAGCCTCGGCAAATTGTGCCGCCCGTGCCAGCACGGGAGCTGACGCCAGGGCAGCGCGTGCTGACAGCGCAAGCAGCGTCAAGTGAGGCCACTGCACGGCAGTCTCACCCCGCTGGCAAGTTGCCCTCTGCCCCGCAGCCACCTGTCACGGGATCTCACAGTGTTCCTCCGGGTTCAAAGAGGCTGGCTGGGCTCCACCCGCGAGCAAGGCAGCGACTGGCTGCGCGGGACCCAGCAGCGACGGCGCTGCTCAGGGCGGCCGCTGCAGCAGTTGCGTTCTCGGTGCTCGGCCGGGCGGCCTGGGCTCCTTGCCCTGTGCAGGAAGGCGCAGGGCAGCAGCAGCAGCAGCCGCCGCCGCAGCGGCAACAGCAGCAGCGGCAACCGCACGTTTTTGAGGGGGACAGCGACGGTGGTCAAGGAGAAGCTGGGCCGCGACAGCATGCGCAGGCGCTGCAGATATCACCATCCGCACAAGAGCCGCGGCGCCCAAGGCTTGGGTTGGGTCAGCAGCGCGCTGCCTCATGGGACCTGCCAGCCCCACCCTGCGCACAGCAAGTAGGGCAGGCGCCATCTGGCAGACCCAGCAGCAGCGGCCAGGGCCCAGCCAGCGGCATCCAAGCTCAAGGCGTCAAAGCCGGCGATAGACGCAGCAGCAGCGGCGGCAGCAGCAGCAGCAGCCATGGCAGCAGCAGAGGCAGAATCTTGTTGGGAAGCGCGCGAACCAGTGCACCCCCCGGCCCCCTATCAAGCGCTGCCTACGAGGACGGCGGCTGTGCAGGCGGTCGCAGCAGCAGCGCCCAGCGTGCCGCAGCTTGCTCACCTCAGCAAGTGTCAGTAGAGCTGTCTATGCCTGTGGCCCCCGCTGTTGCAGCGCAGCAGGGCTGCGGAACATTGCCCGCAGAGCTACAGCCGCTGGTGATTCCGGGGCCCAGCGAACGCGCAGCGGCAACGCCGGCCATTGATGGTGACGTGCGAAGGCCGGCCGTGGCACAGAGCGTGACCCAGGCACCGCCTGCAGCCCCGGGACGCGCCAGCCCGGTTGCAGAGAGGGCTGCCAAGGATCCTTGCTCTCCTGGCTCGTCCTGGGGCACCGCCTCTGTGGCCTCCATCGCAGCCAAGCGCACCAGCCCGCAGCAGCAGCACCGTGCCCCTGCACTTGCTGCTGCTGTGGCGGCGGCAGCGGCGACGGTAGCGGCAGCACCGAACCGCCCAGCCGCAACTTTCAACAATGCTGGAGCAAATGCAGCGGCCTTGAGCGTCAGCCTGGCAGATCCTGCGGAAGTGCAGTCCCTGGCTAGCTACTTCCCCCACAACCACCACCAGCAGCACCAAGAGCAGCAGCAGCAGCAGCAGCAGCAGCAGCAGCGGCGGCAGGAGCAGCAGGAACAGCTAGAGCAGCAGGAGCAGCTAGAGCAGCAGGAGCAGCAGGAGCAGGTGGAGTCATCCAACCTGCGTGACGGCAGTGAGGTCAAGCCCCTTCGAGCGGCGGATCACCTGGTCACAGCCCTCAGCTCTCCGCCACTCAGGCCAGAGCCTGCATCAGCAACACCAGCTCTGCCCTGGGCCGCTGCGGCAGCAGAGGCCTGGGAGCGCTTCACTGTGCCGGCTCCCGACTCGCCGGCGTTTGCGGGCGCTGGAATGCTGGGGGCATGGATGCCCTGCGACAGCCCCACCTCGTCCGCCGCCGCACGGCCACCCGCGGCGCTCCCCTCGGCCGCCGCAGCGGGTGCAGCAGCACTGCTGGCGGGCGTGCTGTTTGAGTCTGGTGGGGACGCTGAGCGGCGCGCGGACACGCTGTTCCCAGCCGCCGCGCACCCGCCACAGCCGGACCGCCTGCTGCCAGATTGGCTGCAGCTTGAGGAGATGTTCGGCACGGGCCTT